AAAGCTGACCAATCGCAGAACTCAATTCTCCTTAATCTTGTCTTAACCGGACAACAAACACAAAATTTCAACAACCAGGCTGCAGACAAGATTACGTACCTCCAAGCAGGACAATTTGAGAAGAATTTCCTAATTTTAGATAAGCGCATATTGATGTATTGCTGAGTAAGGCATGAGAGGCATTTCAAGTCTTATTGTTGACACAGTTTTGATTTGATCGATTCTGCTTCATGAACTAGTTTTGAATCATTTGTTTTATTTCCAGAGCTTGTTCAGTTCATATTAAAAGGCAGATACTAGATAACTTTTGGATGTCAGGTTCTAACTTACGATAACTACACCATAGATTCTCAAATTATTTTTCACACCCTTGAAAGATGACCGCTGAATGTTTTTCTTAAAGTACTCAAGTTTTAAAAATGCATGAGAGGGGAGGGGGAGATAAGACCCAGTCTAATGTATTATTTCCAAATTAAATAAAAATTCCACAGGGGAAAACTGACTTTCGGAAGATATCATTACAAAACTCCGATCACTCAGTTTCTTACAAGACATGGAAGCTTTAAAGATTACTTCTTCGGGTTTAAAATAGAGTCTGACTCCTATTGTGTCATTCTGGATCAAGAGAGACAGACGTTGCTAAGTACACATTTCAAGTGCACACGCTTCTCTGAGGAGAGACTCTGAAGGGGATATATCCGTTGGCTACACAGCACCAAGGGGGGATACAACAACCTGGCTTGGGAAGCCAGGTTAGGGGCCGTGGAAATCTGTCTTTTTCTTTGGTCACTCTTTCATTCTCTCTCCTTTTTTTTTTCTATTTCCTCTTTTGTATTCCTGGTAAAAATAGATAACCTATAACCATAAAGACTTACAATCAGTAAGCCTTGCACTGAAGTTAAAGCACACTTGACCCGAAATTGGGTTTTATCGGCCGACTAAGCTTACGTAACCTCCTTTACGTGACAAAAATAAATAAAAAAAGTTTTATTTAACATTCCCAAATTAATTAAAGAATCCACAATTTTAGGGAGTTATCATGAGAAAAAGTCAAATGAGATGAGGAAGGAGGAAAGCTGTTCCCAGCATTGTGTCAAAATAAAAGGATGATCTGGGTCTGCATTACAAGAGAGGTAAAGGAAAACAGGATTTAAAAAACAGAAAATATGTTTTATCGAATAGTATAAGCAAACAATAGGTGATTATTTCCCCCTTCTTTTAATGCTACAGTTAAAAAATTGCACAAATTTGCACTGCCATCTTGACTTTCCTTTCGATCAACAAGAACTGTAATCTTCCTTAGCAATTGGACTACATTTTGCTATGGGGAACTTTTATCTTTGGCTCATTTCAGAAATAAAGTACATGGTAAAGATTCTAAATGCAAATAGGAGCTTCTATGGACGAGTTAAAAATAGGGGTTTCTTATTGCAAATGTGGTCCGATTTTACAGCCACAAATTTCAGGCAAAAGAAATTTGAAAACTTTTTAAAACTGATCTTATAGTAGAATATACATATGTACAGAAATGACAGTAAATCCGAGGAACTAATACTAGGTGTCATTCTGTGTCATTAGAAAATTACGAGGGGCGTTCAATAAGTAAGTATCCCCCCTCTCTAAAATCCATTAAAATGGACCAATTTTAAAAAAACTTGGGCTCAAAATCTTTCTTAGGATATTCTGAGTTCAACAAAACAAACCGCAAGAAAATCGGACTATGTGCGGCCGAACGTGCCGAGGTGCTCGACGCTCCCGCCGAATCTGCGGGGATTTGAAGTCCGCGACAGGAGAAGAGCTTCTCTGCCAAAGCCTCAGTCGTTCATCACTGACAAAAAATCAAAGAAATTTTTGTGGAATAAGGGACTTACCTCACTTCTCCACATAACCAGCTCGATCCAAGCAGGTCTGACACTGAGGCTGAGAGAACACGCTTTTGGATGCCACGCGCGTGGAAGTCTTTCAGCTGACCGGGGATGAAAGACTTCCACGCGCGTGGCATCCAAAAGCGTGTTCTCTCAGCCTCAGTGTCAGACCTGCTTGGATCGAGTTGGTTTTGTGGAAAAGTGAGGTAAGTCCCTTATTCTACAAAAATTTCTTTGATTTTTCGTCAGTGATGAACGACTGAGGCTTTGGCAGAGAAGCTCTTCTCCTGTCGCGGACTTCAAATCCCCGCAGATTCGGCGGGAGCGTCGAGCACCTCGGCGCGTTCAAACGGCTCGCGTTCGGCCGCACAAAGTCCGATTTTCTTGCGGTTTATTTTGTTGAACTCAGAATATCCTAAGGAAGATTTTGAGCCCAAGTTTTTTAAAATTGGTCCATTTTAATGGATTTTAGAGAGGGGGGATACTTACTTATTGAACGCCCCTCGTAAAATGTTTGAAGAACTGGAATCAAAATTTCTGATTTATCTAGCAGATTCATTTGAATACTGTTATCAAATTCCAAAATTTTCAGTCTATGAGGAGACAAAACAAGGCAGTGAAGTACGAAATTTAGAATGCACTAACACAGCATCTTAGGCCTCTTGATCACCTATGGAGGAAATCAATTTCATGCGGAAAAAATGAGCCAGGCACTTGAGCGTAAGAAGAACCACAACTGATGCTAACTGACTCTAGATACCACAACTTTTCCAAATATATTGTGGCTCATCATTTTTCTAAGTAAATCATTATTGCAAAACTGTCGGGATCTGTAACAACTACTCCGTCTAACATGTTCTACTAAAAATTAGTTACAAGTGCCACTATACATGTTTCATACTTTGACACTAAAGAAAATATTCACACTCAAATTAAAAGATACTTCATTTAGGGTGATTTTAGACAAATATCGAACAAAGTCTTCAAGTCTCAACAATCGGTACAAAGAACGACGCCAAGAATGGCACAATTTGGGTCAGCGGGGATTTTTCTGAGACCGCGCCCAAACGATACCTTATGATACCCTAAAACTCTGGTAAAAATTTTAGCTTGAGTATACGCACAGTTCTTGGGGAAAATGGGGGGCAAAGTTGCCAAATTGCCATCATTCTAGACAGCATTTTTCCAGCAAAAAGACGGGAAAAAAGGACGAAAAAGTGACACCTTTGATGGGTTTCGGCTGTAAATGTTCTTATTGGGCCCCTGTGCATATAGCTGTGTTCAGTTCCAAAAATTTCGGTCGTACAGTGGTCCAAAATGGGGAGAAATCGTGGACAACTCAGGATTCCTTGTCAAATTTTTAAAAATGGAAGTAAAATTGTCGGTTTCCTGCAGTTCTAATGGCTATCAATGTTTTTATCGGTACTCAATGCATTAATTTGTGTTCAGCTTCATTAAATTTCATCGCACAAAGGTCCAAAATGGGCGAATTAGTGGATAAATTAAGATCCTCTGTCAAACTTTTTAAAAATGAAGTAAAACTGTTGGTCCCCTGCAGAGTTCAGATTCCGGAAAAAATCATGTATTTAATTTTTTTTTAATTATAACTGTATGTCAGACCCTATTGTTTATAGAACGTTGTTATGCGTTAGATTTTGTAGCATTATTTTCTTCTACATTGCATTAAGTAAAAATAATGGGTAAGCTTCTTCACCAAGTTTTGGTACTAATCATTGAAGAAGTTTTTTGTTCATTTTACCTTAGTTTTAGGTATTATTTATTTTTTTCTTCATTTCTTTTCTTTTTTTTCTTTTTTTCTGTTTTTCTGATTCTTTTTTGTTCTCTGCTTTTTTAATTTTTTTGTTTTTTGTGTTTGGCTTTTTCAATTTTTTTGTTTTCATTTTTTTAATTTTTATTGTTTTCTCTTTTTTTTAATTCTGTTCTTGACTGTTTAAATCTTTTTTAATTTTTTTTCCATTTTTCCTTATTTTTTTTAAAACTGAAAGTTTGCATATTTGATTGAAATAATACTACAAAATCTAATCTATAACAACGTTCTATAAACAATAGGGTCTGACATACAGTTATAATTAAAAAAAATTAAATACATGAATTTATAATAAAAATAAATAATACCTAAAACTAAGGTAAAATGAACAAAAAACTTCTTCAATGATTAGTACTAAAACTTGGTGAAGAAGCTTACCCATTATTTTTACTTAATGCAATGTAGAAGAAAATAATGATACAAAATCTAACGCATAGCAACGTTCTATAAACAATAGGGTCTGACATACAGTTATAATTAAAAAAAATTAAATACATGAATTTTTCCGGAATCTGAACTCTGCAGGGGACCAACAGTTTTACTTCATTTTTAAAAAGTTTGACAGAGGATCTTAATTTATCCACTAATTCGCCCATTATGGACCTTTGTGCGATGAAAATTAATGAGGCTGAACACAAATTAATGCATTGAGTACCGATAAAAACATTGATAGCCATTAGAACTGCAGGAAACCGACAATTTTACTTCCATTTTTAAAAATTTGACAAGGGATCCTGAGTTGTCCACGATTTCTCCCCATTTTGGACCACTGTACGACCGAAATTTTTGGAACTGAACACAGCTATATGCACAGGGGCCCAATAAGAACATTTACAGCCGAAACCCGTCAAAGGTGTCACTTTTTCGTCCTTTTTTCCCGTCTTTTTGCTGGAAAAATGCTGTCCAGAATGATGGCAATTTGGCAACTTTGCCCCCCATTTTTCCCAAAAACTGTGCGTATACTCAAGCTAAAATTTTTACCAGAGTTTTAGGGTATCGTAAGGTATCGTTTGGGCTTGGTTTCAGAAAAATCCCCGCTGACCCAAATTGTGCCAAAAAACGGTCGTTTTTGGCGTCGCTCTTTAGTACAATGAAAAATAAAGAAGAAAAATAGGATGAAACACAGTTGCTTGTAAGCTTAGAAATTGTCTGATGTGAAGAGAACAGTCACACAAAAAGTAAATTCAGCTCTTAAATTTTTTTGTCATTTTGAGGGAAATAACAAGAAGATTTTTTCCTTTTCTTTGAAAAACATTACATATTCCATATGGTTCTAAACAGAAATATTAACTTAATTTTATTTTCAATTTTCATTCTATAATGCAATTTTTACTTTTCAATTCGACGATCTTTGGAGATCAATCTTTAAATAGTAAAAGGTAAACATTTTGTTTTTCAAAACTACACACTTCAATAAAGCGCTGAGTTACTATCAGGTGCTTAAAATTAAGACAATCAAACTTAATTCTAAGGCGGACAAAAATAAACGAAGGTGGGAGGTGATCTAATTTTTCCTGATGACTGGCGACACTGAATACAAACTAAAATGACCATCAGATTTTCAGATGAAACTGGTCGGTTTTAAACAGGGAAAATACAGAAAAAATACGTGATTAAAACAGACTTGATGGTCATTCAGTCTTTCATCACTTGAATGGACCAAGAGCTAGCTTAGCAGAAAGGAGCTGATTTTTAGGGCTTGGACAAGAAATGACACGTCTGATGTTGATTTCTCTAAATAAATTGGTGATACCACGAATGTGCTCATCCACTTGGTACTTTTCCGCTAATTTTGTCCGTTTAAATGGAGGAATCAACTTGCATCAAACTGGCTTTGAGGGGTCACACTTTTGTAGCTTTCATGTTTGAAAGCTTGGAAGGTCTTTATGGCACATAAAATGGGTACTTAAAGATATTCACCGAGGATCAAATTAAACTTCAGCTCTGGATCTACACATTTTTCTCTCATGACTCAATTCTTTGAAAAGTCTGTAATCATTGAAAGTCTTAAGAAAAACCTTCCATAGTTCACAGGAAGTGACAAAAAATTCTAAGTTCATAAATTATTTTGGTCGCTTCTTCACCATGTATTGTGCAACACGGTAAAAATTTACTACAACTCATTTGTTTACAAGAGGTAGAAATACCTTATTAGAGACAAATTGTGTTTGGTAGGATGTAATGAGCAGTTTTCCACTTAATATCGAACCTAGCAAAATTATGGGTTGGTTCCCTACTGTTAAATCTAACCAAAATTAGGGTAGATTTACCTTTGGTTCCAACAGAGCTGCTTTTAGATTTCAGTGCTCCAATTTGCTTAGTATTTACAGAGACAACGAAGAGAATTACAGTGAGAAGATGCCACAAAAAAAAAATAGCTGAGACTGCTTTTCGAGAATTATTCTGTAACTGTCAGCACTTCAAGAATTTTAGAGTATGAGGAAAAAGTAGTTTCAATCTATGATCTTCAAAAACTTGGTCAGAATTACAATCCGGATTTGAAGACTGTGCAAAATTAAGTTATATGACTAGTATATCTTGATAAAGACATAAAGCCTCAAAAAGGGAGGAATGATTCATTTACGAATCGTGTAATGAAGTTGTGACCATTGATCTTGTTCAGAGTAACAATCTGAAAACTGAGGGTAACAGGTACAGCAAAATCATGATGGCATGGGACTAATGAAAAAAATATCTGGATGTCACAAATTAGAAACTCAAAGTGGTTGAGTTATTGAAGCATGAAAGTTCCAACTTTGACCCCTCTCCATTTCGCAGCATCCCCCAAAATCTTTTGAGATTCTGATCAGTTAGGGAAAGAAGGCTCAAGTATGAGTGATCAACAGACCAAGTCTGATGGAGTGCTGGGAGGGGAAACAGGTTTGAAAAATGTCGATTTTGAAGCAAGCTCTCTGAGGTGTGCACGAATCAAACTGATTTTGACTAGCAAAATTTTTAATTTTTGCCTCATTGTACTAAAAACAGCTTCCAACATCAGAGAGGGTTCCCAGTTAAATTAAACTCCCCTAATTTCTCAGTTATTAGAGAACACTTAAAGTTTCGAGTTCAGTTTCTGAATAAAAATTAAGGGGTGCTCAGAGTTCATACATTAAAATCAACATTTCTATAATTTTCTATACATAAATATTCTATTACGACACAGTTGTACTAGAGTGCACTGGAAGATGTAGGGTCATAATCATCCGAACTTTGATTAAACTTCACGTTTTCGTAATTCTTTCATACTTGACTTGCAAAATTCATCACTACAAAATATAAATTGCCTTAATTTTTTTAAATGAAAAAAAAAAAAATTCTTCCAAGTCATGAAGCTTATGATTGTTTTACGATTATATTTTATCCAGAAGATGGGAAGTTCTTGGGTGATAACTGAAAAGAGAACAAGACGGCATGATGATATTGATAAGAGGAAATAGAGTCCCATTCAAACCATATCATAGTATGTTAATGGTGTGGTAACGCTGCTAGATTTTTTGCTGAAAGGGTGCAACTTACAGACTGATAATTTATTTAAAATAATCTTTCACTACCATAACTCAGCGTGACAGTTTAAATAACCTCATGGAGATCCTTGTGACAGCTTAAAGTTGAAAAATTAACTTATCCTGACTCAATCTCCATGAAGTTTTGAAATATCAAAGAAAGTAAATTCTGAAAATGACCAAAACCATACAAGCCAAAATTGGACAGCAATCACAGTTTACTGCCTGTTTAGACTCCAGCATGTTGATTAAATTTCGTCAACTAATTCAATTCTACCACATAAGTAGAAGCGAGAGTATTTGCTGATATTCAATTAGAGAAAAACAAAGGTGATCTCTGATCAAATTACTTTTTAGAATTTATTTTTAGAATTATTCCCTCTGAATTTGGATTTTATCGTACACTCTTGGCTCAACTTTCAGCCTCTTTGTATTCCAGTTTTGCACAGGAATTTTGAGGGTTCTTCATTTGTTACACTAGTTATAACATATGCAGCAAGGTACAGCGGTCTGAGATGCTTTCCTGATACAAAATGTTGGGTTGACAATTTTCACTAACCACATCCTTGTCACCTCTGACCTGATTTGCAACGTTGGATTGAAAATTGCAATTATTCAAAATGAGTAAATCAAAGCTGACAGACAGAAACATCTTTCGCCCATTGAAAAAAACGTTTCAACTGGAATTTTCTATGTGCAAAAAGAGAGAGGAGAATTGTTAATTAAAAATTAAAGTGAATTAATCAGGGAAGGTAAATAAGTAATAAAAAAGACTGCTTGTCCCCCATTCCTTTCTTCTTGTTAGTGAGAAAAGATGAAAGTAGACCAGAGAAGTTAAAATTATCATATCTACTTTGAAAAAAGACCATGCAATTGATTCCTGGAAGCATTGATTGAAACAATTTACAATGAGAACCATGCAATTAGCTACCCCAACTAAGATTCCACTGAAAAAATCAGCCACTATCGGGAAGCAATCACCACAACCGGCGATCAAATTTGAGCAATTCTGCTGACTTCTTCCCTGGAGGGACAAAGTGTGACAAACACAATGAACGCTTTTGTTACACACAATAATGATTAGCAGTTCTTTGATAAAATTAAAAACAAACCATAACATGCTAATTTTATTTCCTTTTAAGAAAGAGAAAGAGACAATATGTAAACTCCAACCACTAACAAAACAAAACAATGGTTTTTGGTAAAAAAAAACAATATAGAAAGGGGAACTTTTCAACCCTTCCAATAAAGTTTAATTCGGTTTGAGTGAATGTTCTATTTTTTGCAAAATCCTATGGCTTATTTTAGAACTGAGAAGAACAAGAAAGAAAATAATTGATATTGCTAAAATTGATTGTACTCTAAAAAGATATGATTTTATCTTTCTCTAGGTTGATGTTCTTGGTTTTTTTTTTGTTTGTGTTTTTGTTTTTTGGTTTTTTTTGGTTTTTAAAGTACTAAATGAGTTGTCCGGTATTATGTACATAATTTTCTTTTATCTTCTTCCATCTAACCCTACAATAAAATGATACACAAAAACTATCATCAAAGATGTAAGTTGAAAACATTCCACCATCAGCGCCTGTTCTTATTTCATGAGAAAGACTGCAGACTGATGGTGTTACATTTTCAAAGTTTCACAAAAAAATTATAACAAATAAACAGCAAGAGAGAGAAAGAAAGGAAGAAACAGAGAGACAAAACAAAAACAAAAAATTCGAAAATTAAAGGAAAAATAAAAGGATGAATATAAAACAACAATCAGTCAATGCTACAATGTTCAGGTGAAAATTTTGGATTTAAAAAATGAAATTCTTAGCTCTTGCAGAGTGGTTAAACGTTGATTACACCAGTCGGTGGACCGAGGAGAGGTATCAATCAGAGATAGAAAAAATATAAAAAAAAGTACGGGGGGTTGACCCAAATATAATTTGAATCTTCTACTAAAAGCACAAAGGGTTCTTGCAACCTACAAAAGAAGAATCATTCATTTACGCTTGATTCATTGAGCAATTTCAAAGCATTCGAGTATAAAAGCAGCATACCTATACATTGCAACAAAGTCAGGGGAACTAAGGCTACTGCCTTCATGGCATGAAGAAAACGGAAGAGGAGAAATAATTCTCATCTGTTTTCGAAGTAAAAAAAGAAAAAAGAAAATAAACGAATCCAGTTTTGTAATTAATCATCAGAGGCAGATTTAACCCATGAAGTAATCTTCACTGATTGGGAAAAACAATAAAAATACTTGATTTTCCGGTATTTTTACAGTGATGCGTGTATCAAGAGCAAAATTTTAAGTGAAACTTACAGGATTGGAGGGGCAAGAGTTCTGCATCAATAAAATTTTTTGAAAAAGATTCGCCGACTTGGGAGTCTTCATGAAAGAACTCCAATCGTACAAGCTCAACTCCTGGAGACCAACTTCATGCACAACATGATAAAATAATTTTTGGATGACAATGTAGAAAAAAATTCATTTTTTAGCACAACTATTGATATTGAATTAGAGGATCATGAGACGGTTCAGACTCAACGCTGAACCCAAGCTCCTCCTGAAGGCACACTTGCGGTATCTTTCCCCATTGAGGGAAAGTCCCTTTGACTATCTAATTCGGGTGTCTTTTGGCTCTTGTCTTTGTCCCAAGGAGCCCCTTTTACAACAAATCCGCTGCTGTCACCCCTACTTGGGTTTGGGTTGGAATTATTCATATGTGAACTAGAACTTCGAACATCATGCGCAACATCTTCCAGCTGAAATATTAAAGATACGATTCTTAGGCACACATTAAACTGAAAAAAGGAGAATTATACAATATCTGCAGACCTGAAAAACTAAAAGTTTAAATACAGGGTGATCTAAAACTCCCGTCCACCCCTTCTAACTTTTTACTTGATTCAGATAATTTGAAACTTGGAAGACGTCTCTGAGTCTACTCTCAGGAACTACTTTCGGGATCCATTAAAATTTTCGGGAGAGCCACCTTCAAGATGGGGCCCAGAGACTCCAAATTTTAACAAATGAAAACACCTCTCCTCCATCTGGTGATACCTCGTTGGATAGAACACAAAAAAGAAAACTTTCCGCGTTCTCCCAAAGTCATGACTCTAACCAATAATTCAAAATGGCACCCAGTTATAGTTAAAGTGACCGAGGATTGGCAACGATTTTTCGTCGAAAAATTAGCGCGAAACTCAGTATCTGAGAGTATTTTGACAAGATAAAAGTGAATTTGACTTTGGATTTTTAAAAAACCGAGATTTTCAAAAATTGCAGCTGGTTAGAGTTCAAAATGGTCAAAAATTGGGACCTAGATTTTTTTGTAATGAATTTGTCCGGAACTAGACGTCAGCGGTTATTTTGGCAAGAAAATGATGAATCGAAAGTTAGATTTTTGAGGAAAAAACAGTTTTCAACCATTTCAAACTTGGACTAGCCACCACTTTTAAAAATTCGTCTCATATACAACGCATCTTACGTTTCATTTGTTCTCTTGTCTCATCTTGCAATCCCCCCAATACTGAGATTAAGATAAATCCATTGACAAAAAACTTAAGTGCCAGATATCAGCCATTTTGAACTTTAGCCAGGCGCCATTTGGAAACAGTTCAAGATATTGACTTCAAGAGTGCGCAAAAAGTTTTCTCCTTTGATGTTCTTTTGAACAAGGTACCACAACAGAGGTCTTTCCATATAAAAAACATTGGGGTCCATTCCCCCAAAGAGAGGCCCCTCCCTGAAAATTTTGGAGGGCCAGTAGCTTCTTTTGGCCTGGGATCATCCCTCAAGTTTCAAACCTTTACCTCAGAAAGGTTAAAGGGTAGAGGGGATGGTAGGCACTTTTGAATCACTCTGTATTTAATAATTTTCATGTAACACTTTCATACAGAGCTTGGTGCAAAAACGGCTTTTTTCGCCGCCGCCCCCCCCCCGGAATTTTTTTTTCTGGATAATTCACTTTCTTAGAATTACAGCTCCATGGCGCAGCTGTAGAGGCCCACCAAGCACCAAGCAGCCGCTCAGTGGGCCTGTACTGAGCTGTAATTGTAAGAAAGTGAATTTTTTAGAAATATCTGTAATTTCTGAACTCAGCGACCCTCGAGAACCCTTAAAAACTTATTTTGCACAGTTTTAAATTACAATCTAGTTTAATAACACCCAAATCCGGCTTTTGGGCGCACGAAAATCGGTCGGCGTGCGTTGAGCTAAAACTTTAATCGCCCATAACTCCAGAACAGTTTGGTTCCCCAGCTCATTGGACCACTTGTTGGATGCGGAAAAAGACGAAAAATTTAAAAAACTGGTTTTGGTTCAAATGAAAAATTGATATCTTTGTGTATTCTTTGTTTGAAAGAAATTGTCTGGACTCAAAAACTGAAAAAAAGCACATATGTTAGGGTCATTCTGTGTGAACTCAACGAGGTTTTGAACCTTAAACTCTCAGATCATGTTCAAACTTGGTGTGCTGTAAGATCCTTTTGAATAAAAAGTATTCCCCATCATTCATTGGTCATTTGGTCACCCCGTTAATTTTATATGAAACTTGGGGGCTGCGCCCCCTGGCCGCTCCGCGGTTCAACCCCATAGATGCGCTTTGCGCCTCCTTTATGTATATATCCCAAAATCGTTAAAAGATCATTTAAGAGTTGTTGGGGAAAACCCCGTTCGGAGAAGGCAGGTAGCATGTGACCGTGCGCGGCGGGAGGGGAGCGGGGAGTGGAGGAGAAACCGGTTTGTGGCATGATTAGCATTATACCCTCAGTGTGACACACTCAGCGTGACACGGCACCCTTATGATTTTATACTATAGAGTAAGATTTGAAAGTTTGCAAAAAATTTAGTTTTTTTACGACCAATAAAACTTTGAACGGCTGTTACTTTTCAACGATTCGTCGGGAAACTTGAACTAGGTCTTGTTTTGAAGCTTGGAGCTTTATTTCTTTTCGAAAAAAAAAAAATTATGAAAAAAAGATTTTGGAAAGAATTGAATTTTGAAATTTGAATTTTTCAAAAAGGGCATTTCTTAAAATTTTGATTTTCTCTGTAGGTGACCCTTACAGAATCTTTAAGCAATTCCCAAAGTTTCATTGTGGGCCGTCAAACGGCTCTTAAAAAAGCTACCTTAAAAATGAGATCTTGGGATTTTGACCTAAAAAATCTTAAGGTATACAATTTTAAATGATTTTTTGTCAAAAACTTTCTTCCAGCTGCATTCATGACAATCTTTGTTTGCCTCAGGCATGTAGTAAACGATATTCATCTATTCTAGTTATTATTATTATTATTGATCAAATGAGCACTGTGGAGCTTTTTTGTCGACATTAGAGCCCTATTGCAGCTGACTACATCGGGTCCGGCCAGGCAGAACTCAATTTTCTGAGTCAGGATGAAAAGTTCCATTGGAAAAGTGAGTTCTGCCTCATTTTCAGATGACACATTTGCCCTGCATTTTTTGCAACTTTAAAGCCCTATTGCGGCTCACTTTAATTGATCCGACAGGGCAGAGCTCGGTTTTAGGCATCAGGATGAAAAGTTCTGTCGATTTTGAAAATTTTGTCCATTTCCAAGTGGAACACCAAAATGGCAGCGAACTCCCGGTCCATTAGTTTTTTATATGACACTGTGGGGAAAAAAAAAAACAAGAAAATAGTACGAATAAAAAAACTTACATAATCATCCTGTTTACTCCTCAACTCTTCAATTGCATCCTCAACATTATCAGGATTGTCGCCATAGACAATCAATTTATTGGAGCCATCGCGCTTTACCGATAATATTGTCACCTTATAATCATTTTGAATTCGACTCAGGTTTCGACCTTTAGCACCTATCAGTCGGGCAATGATCCTCTCATCAACATCCAGCTCTTCACATTCTAGGTTTTTCTGAAATCAGAGCCAGACAAGTTAAAAAAAAGACAATAGGTAATACAAAAATTGATAACAAAATTGCTCCAATACATCAGGATTTCCCAGAAAATCGATTTTCTCGAAGAAACAGGGTTGTCCGGGGAAAACTCAATTCTTAGGAAATAAACGATTGACTTGGAATATATGTTTTTGATGTGGTTTTTAACTTAGAATTCGAAAATAATAAAGGTTTTTTTCTGTTCTATTAGGAGTTTCTGAGGAACGAAATTTTTCCCGTAAAGAGGATATTCCAGGAAAAACTCGGTATCCTGGAAAACTTGTTGATTCCGACGAGAAAACAGGTAATTTCTTAACTCAGCAATGTTTGAAGAGGTATAGGAGCCAGTCATTTTCTGCACTTTCCTGGCACATTGATTTTGGGTAAAAAGTGTCCTGATAGCGAATTTTGTAGATTCAGCCGTTTTGCTACCTATCGTGGAGGTCATCATCTGGCAAGATGCACGCATGGCACCTCGACGCAATACCTACACATCAAAAACATATATTCCAAGTCGCCAGTTTATTTCCTAAGAATTGAGTTTTCCCCGGAAAACCCTCTTTGACGAGAAAATCGATTTTCCGGGCAATCCTGATGTAATGGAGCAATTTTGTTATCATTTTTGGACTCAGCATTTAAAAGCAGAAAAGAAGCATATTCGTCCCATGTTGAGGTTTATTTCTTGAAAATTGAGTTCTCCCCAAAAAACCTCCTTTTTTACAAGAAAATCGAAAATCCTGATGGAGTAGAGAAAAATGGATAGCATTTTCCGACTCAGCGTAAAAAAGTACTTATGAAACACCTACCTTATGTTGAGCTTTGTTTTCGGATTCAGACCTATGTAATTATTAGAGATTTATCACCGTCATTTTACCCTCTTTTAGCGTTTTCTAGATGTTTCAGTTGTTTCACCACGATGACGAAGGGTAAAAAATTTTTTCTAAGGTGTCCAATATAACTTTTCCCACTCAATTTTTCCTGGTAAAGCCGAATATGACCTCAGATTTTATATAGAAATTACACATTTGCCGGGAAATGGGTTTTTCTGAGAAAAGTGTGTTTCAATGTAAAATCCCATATGTATAAAAAAGATGGCTCGGTCGGCACGAGTTAATACATAGGCTGTCCAAAAAGTACCGAGACTGGTTCTTTAACTCAAAAACCAAGATAGCTAGAGGCTTGATCTTGGTCTCATTTGGAAGATCAACTCAACATCTATCGATTGAAACCAAAATCAAAACTTTCGGTCAAGTATTTCAAAAGTTACGACACTGTTTGTAAAAAAAATATCTGGACCTCCTACCGTTTTTAATGACTATTTTCTCTTGCCGGGAACACTCTCTAAATTATTAATGATCAGTGCACGGTTCTTTTGCAACTAATCATGGCAAAACCTAATTGATTTGGAAACACTGTCAAGCGGTCGTCGTCCGACTACGGGTATAAGGGTTCAAAGTCCACAGGGAAAGAATCAACCGTCGGTCAGCCACCCCTAAAAAACCCGGGAAATTTTCGGCAGTTGTTGACAGTTCACAGTGCGTGCGTGGTCCACGCTGCAGATAGTGAGTGACTTTGTTTCTGTGTTCGAAATTTTTGATACCACTGCTTTATCTCTTTCCATGATGGTATCAAACATTTCGAACACAGAAACAAAATCACTCACTATCTGCAGCGTAGACCTCGCACGCACTGTGAACTGTCAACAACTGCCGAAAATTTCCCGGGTTTTTCAGGGGTGGCTGACCTACGGTTGATTCTTTCCCCGTGGACTTTGAACCCTTATACCCGTAGTCGGACGACGACGGCTTGACAGTGTTTCCAAATCAATTAGGTTTTGCCATGATTAGTTGCAAAGAACCGTGCACTGATCATTAATAATTTAGAGAGTGTTCCCGGCAAGAGAAAATAGTCATTAAAAACGGTAGGGGGTCC